ATTTCGGACAGTTGCCCCTCCAGTTGCCACTTCAGATAAGTAACCAACATCAATATTCATCTTGGTTCCATTTCTGGGTTTCTTCCATCGAACAATTTGTATCTGAGTTCCTTTAGCCTGGAAGTTTTGTGGGACTAGTTCCTCTTCTTTTAGAATCGAATCAACAGTTCGATTTTTCTGAGCTAGAAAACTAAGAACCCATCTTTGAGTGTACAACTAAGTTTGATAGATAATGTTATCTGCGGTACACAATGAATCCCCTTTCTCCCAGATTTGATTCGTGTAGAGCTTCCAAATTTGCCAACAAATGATACCAGTCATATTGTGCTTGAAAATATCAATAACACCCTTACAACCAACCTGAAGCCACCAATTCCGAAATATCTGTGAAATGGATTCCTCAGAAGGGCTGGGAATTTGAAAAATCCCCATAAAATATCTCCAAACTGGCCTAACCACACTGCACTTACAAAAGAGATGTTCTAGACTATCCGTATGTGCCCTACACAGTGCACACATAGAAAGTTCTAAACCAAGTTGAAATCTTTTCAGCTTGTCTGTGATAGAAAGTTCTTAACTTTAAGTTCTTGCTGGGTATTCCATATGTGTGAGTAGGTCATTGTTGAAGGAGATTGAGCTCTAACTTCATTGTAGGCAGATTTAAAAGAGAATTGACCGTTTTCTTCATCATTCCAGATCATATTACCTGAGCCGTCAGCTGTGCAAAGGGAGCTTGCCAAATCATTAATGTAGCATATTCTTCTCCAAATGACTGAATCAGTGACTCTAGGTATCATGAATTCCCCTCTATTGTATCTTCTTTTAATAAAATCTACCCAGAGGGAACTCCCATTCTTCCATTTCCACCAGAGTTTAAGGGAGAAAGCTTTCTCAATATCAGAGAGAGATCTAATTCCCAAACCCCCCTCATCGAAATCTCTTTTGACTATTTAGAAATTAGAATTGAATGACAGTTACAAGATACGGGAAATTCCTCTGTCTACTGAATATGATTCAGTTTATAATAGTAATGCGAGTGAAACTCTGTCTATGGGGAAAGCTGAAAGTATTTGCATTCCAAAGATCATTGGCAAAAATGCAGACTTACACAGATCTTTGGAAATTGAAAGAGGTTTTTCCAAAACTGAAAAGGAAAAACTTTTATATAAGATTTCTTCTCTCAAAATCACCCCCAATACACACAACTTCTACTTCCTCTCTTGTTTTAAAGGGAAAGTCTTCAATATCTCTTTCTAAATAGGGTTTTAAGGGAAAATACTCACCCTCTTCCTCACATTCTGAAAGCTAAATATCTGAAATGCAATATTCTTAATAAACATAATCAAAGAAAAGAGGATGACCTGAATTTTAAAATGTGCTCAAAAGGAAGTTGCAGGACTTGAGATGTTTTCTGAAAAATCCAAAAAACATTATTTGTCTATAAGTCATGTAGTACTTTGAGAGAGACTTGATCAAGTTCAAGCAATCGGTCATTTATTTGTGTTACAAAAAATGTTTATCGGTCTTTTTCTTAAGAGTATAAATATGAGATTTCGGATTCTAGTGCTGAAGTTAGCCAATCTGTGAAGAATTTTTCTTCTTCTAATGCTTCTAACCATCACTGTAATGTGAATGATGTGAAATTTCAATAAAAGAGATTTAAAACATCTACCTATCGCGGTTGTGATGATGTTTGCTTGGCATATCTCCTCACGATTTATTCATCCAAACATTTATTCAATGAAAGTCTTTCTCATTAATGAGTTCTATTCCTAAGAGGACCAATACCTCTTATTAATTAAATAAAGATATAAAAAATGATTTGTACATACTAAAAGGAATGGGGTGCCGCCGCAACCCTCGTTCTTTTAATGCACTTTATTTATTTATTTATTTATTTATTTATTTATTTATTTATTACTCCCTCCATCCCAATAAATTCTTCCAACTTTGAGTTGCCTCGCATATTTAGAAAGTAGAATAAAGTAGAAATGTATGGTTGTAGTTGTGTAAAAAAAAGGGGAAATGAATGTGAGCCACACAAATTATCAAAAAGATGAAGATGGAAGAAATTTGTGGGACATACTAAAAAGGAAAGTTGGAAGAATTTTAAGGGACAGAAAGAGTATTATTTTGAAATAATGACCAAAATAATACCCAAGCATTTCTATTTGACAAAAATAAGCCATGTTCTCAAACTGGACAAAAAAGAGGCTTAGTATTACCAACTGGACCAAAATACCCTTAAAGTCTTAAACTCCATATCCTTCTCCGTCTTTAGAAATACCCTCGCCTCCAAGCAGTGTAGATCTCACGCCCAATCCAGAGCCGCAACTCCATAGCCGCACCTCCATCGCCGCGCCGCGCCGCGCCTCCAAATCTACACCTCCATCATCGGGCCTCCAGGTCTACACCTCCATCGCCGTGCCGCACCGCGCCTCCAGAGCTAGACCTCCAGCGCCGCGCCACGCCTCCATCGCAGTAAGTCATAGCCGCACCCCTGTCGCCACACTTCCATCGTCTCAAGACAGATCCGAACCACCATCGCTTCAAGTCATCTCTTCTCTTCTCGCGAGCTCTTCATTTTCTTCTTATAAGATGTTGTGATTGGGGGTTAGGGTTTCTACGGCGTGATATTTTGGTGCCAGAGAGAAGGCAATGGGCTGGCGGCTAGGGTTACGTGCGGTGGTTGTTGATGGCGGTTGGGGCTAGGGTTGGGTACTGCCAGTTCGGGGTTGGGGTGCTGGGGCTGGTCTGGTCGGAATGGGGCAGGGCAGGGGCTGATAAGGAAGGGGCAGGGCTTGTGGGCGTGGCTAGGCTAATAGGGGTGGGGCAGGGCTTGGATGATGAGGACTAGGCTGGGGTGATGGTGGTGGGGTAGGGCTCTACGTGTGATGGAGGAGCGGTGGCAGTGGTCAATATTTGGTGGTGGTCACTGGAATCACTATCATTGTCCAGAGAAATGTAATTGTCACTAATGTAATGTTAGTCACTATTATAATATTGGTCACTGGCACTGGGCATACATGTCACTGTCTTGGCAAGCGGGTCATTATCACTGGTCGCTATGACAATGGTTGGAATTGGTCACTGGACCTTTGGTCACTGTAACGAGTAACTGTAATTGGGCAGATTGAGTAATTGTAATTGGTAAGGTCGGGTAACTCTGTAACTGTAATTCATGGGTCGAGTAACTATAACTGGACGGATCGAGTAACTGTAACTGGTGGTCGGGTAATTGTAATTGGACGAATCGGGTAACTGTAATTAGAAGGGTCGGGTGACTTTAACTGGACGGGTCGGGTAACTGTAACTCGACTAATCGGGTTATTGTAACTGGGGACGGGATCGAGTAACTGTAATTGCGTTTAGTGTAACTGTAACTGGATGTATCGGGTAACTGTAACTGGATGGATCAGGTAATTGTAATTGGATGAGCCGGGTGGTCACTACTCGGGTGGTAAATGGGCAGTTGTAACGGACTGATATTTAATTTTTGGTCACTGTCGGGTTTTGGACTTTTGGTCACTGGCGGTTTTTGGTCATTGATGAATTTTGGTCACTGGTGGATTTTTGGTCACTGACGGATTTTGGTCATTGATGGATTTTGGTCACTGGCAGATTTTGTAACTATGTCATTGGTAACTGTAACATTGGTCACTGCACATTTGGTCACTGTGGCGGGTTACTGTAGCAGGCCAGTGGGTTTGGGTTTAGTAAGGGTGTAACAGTCCCTTAAGTATTATTTAGTCTTATTTTTGGAACTTATAAGAAAAATCTCTTTTTTTGTCCAAATGCTTTTAATTAGTATTATTTGAGTCCAAACCCCTATTATTTTACTTGCAATTTCTTGAGTAAATTTTAATTCCAAATTGAACTCAAGAAATTACCGACTTTATTTAATTATAAATACATTTTAATTAAGTATAATAAATCTAATTTATTTGACTTAATTAATTCTATCAAATAGAACTCTGCTTCAACTTTATGAACTAAATATGTTTAATCTAATTAACATTTAATCCATTTCCAGTATTACAAATTAAATATTATTTAATCCAATTAATATTTAATTTCTTCTAACAATTCAATCGAAAGATATAATCACTTTTTTGTGTGACCCATAAGGCCTTATATATATTAAACACTAATCAAATTAAGATATTAGCGAATCCCTAAATGATTTTCCACACAAACTTAATATATAAGAACGTTTGCGATGACTATTCAAACTCTCTAGCTGTAATATAGAACTCATAGTGATATTGTGTCTATTCCAATAACTTAGTCTCTGTCTCTCAATCTAGACCGATCATAATTGGCTTACAATTGTCCAAGTGAGGATTATCGAATGAGGTGACTTCTTTGAGATGACTGATTCTGAGTTTGATCCAAAGGCGTATCATCAAACTATTGTTTTTGATCTTTGTATGTCCGTTTTCTTCATACCGGATAATATTTGTGATTTTGCTAGTATTTTAATATAACTCGATTTTCCTCAAAAAAAAAAACTTCAATTTATAAATCAACAAAAATGAATAGCTGATATTTTCATGGTTTTTCATCTTGGGAATTTTGTGATTCTTTGTTCTTTTCCAAATTCGTATATGTCTCTCCCAGGTCTCCATTTGGCCAAATTCACCGAGCTCTTGTAATTTGTTTTCTTTTTTGTATCACCATTGATCATTCTAATTAAAATAAATTATTTCATTGTTAATGGCAGCTTGTTTAAACCATTGCTTGACGCTTTATTATGCACCATTTATTGAGAGTTATTATTTATATTATACGTAGTATCTTTTGTTATTGCTATTATACTGGGACCAGTTCAATATGTAGAGTTACTTCCCACATGTATTGCTATTGGTGTATATGTACATGCATGCACTCTCAAATAATAAGTCATGAGATGTAGAACTCTTCTACTCCGTATTATTCCATCTCCTAATGTATGAAGCTTTGCATTTTTCTGCTTCTATCTTCATTCCACTTCTTCAAATATTTAACTACTTTTAATTTTAACACCATTCCCCTCCCTTCGGCACAAGGAACACCAGTTCCTTCTCCACGCCCATCCCCATTTTCTTTTCTTTTTCTCCATACCCATAAGTTTCACGAGCATGTACTTCTCCCCAGGACCTTGAATTTGATTCCTCACCATCATAGTCATAAATAACCGCCTTTCTGCCCACTTTATCGTATATATATTCATCATTATTCCCCTGCATATATGTCTACACCGTTTCCTCTATAACAATGGCTACCTCCGCTGGGAAGAACAACTTATTGCCTGCATCTCTGGTCTCCAATCTCCAGGATGTTCTTCTACGCCGGAAAAGTGACGCCGGTGAGAAAGGAAACGAGGAGGCTCAACAATCGAAGTCCAACGACGATACGACAGAGCTGTCATCTTCGAACGCCACTGGGGAGCCGGACAACACGAAGCCTATCGTTTTGGTGACTAATGCCGACGGGATTGATTCCCCAGGTCTCACATGTCTTGTCGATGCTCTGGTTCGCCATGGCCTCTACAATGTTTACATCTGCGCTCCGCAATCGTAGGTCTTTTGCAATGTCTGATTTCAGTTACATTTAGGCATCTAACGATACGCCGATCAAGTTTTACTTTGTGTGCGCGTGTGCTTAGATTAACAATTCACTACTGGCGTAAATTTGATACCCTTTATCTAGTTTTGCTTTTTTATACATTAACCAGACGTTACATTATGCGTGCAATCTCATCATTCTGTCATTTCTGATTTCTCCTTTATCGCTGCTACAATTCTTGGCGATATGTTAACGAGTTACTAATGTGGATTCCTTTTTCTCCGTGGTGGGGCTCAAATGCTGGAATTGAGTCCTGTTAAAGTGTTACCCCGTCTGTTTTAAACGAGTCTAATTTTCCCAACTCTTAAACTCATTGCTCTTTGGTCTCTTATGATTATTTTGACAGAGACAAATCATTATCTGGCCATTCAATTACGCAGAGGGAAACAGTTGGAGTGAGCTCAGTTGAAGTTCAAGGAGCCACCGGCTATGAGGTTTCTGGTATGAAATCCTTATGTATATATTTATTTTATTTTAAAGATTATCAATAATTTGACAAAAGGTTATCACTCTTTGCAATACTATATTACTGTCTTTCAGGGACTCCTGCAGATTGTATCTCACTGGTCGTATCCGGGGCACTTTATTCTTGGTCAAAGCCTTCCATTGTATGGGGACATGATTTCATTAATTTAATACGGAGTGTAACAAAAATTCTTTACTAATTCTTTTTGGTTAGTTTTCTCTCTAAATTACCTCTAACATGTTTAGGTAATCAGCGGAATCAATAGGGGCTCAAGTCGTGGCAATCACATGTAAGTGTTTTTTTAAGTATCTTCATGACAATCAAACTTTATTAAAACTAGTGTTTTAGGCTTTTAGCTAATGATTTCTTCTTTTTTTTATTGAAAGTTCCTTTTATCTGCTGTCACTTTCAACTGCTGATGAACTGAAACTTTTTAGCATTTGCTTTTGTTTCTATTCGAGCCATGAATTGAGTTTATATCCTCAAGGGTCTGTTTGCAATTTGGAAATTGTTAGGGTATGATGATATAGACTATGGAGGAACATAATGAGAAATTTGGACAGAGAGACTTTGATGGAAAATGAAAATTTGGTTCAAACTCTATACATCAATTTTCAGTTTGTCCAACTCATTTTCTCTACATATTTCTATTACTAAAGCTAAGACTAAGAAATCTAAATGTGTTAATTTTTAAATTAAAATTGATTTGGATTAAAACCAAACTTAAGAATGCCATTTTTGTTAGTAATTTTGCATTTGTTTTTTCTGCCACAATCACCATCTACGGTACTACGGGTTTCAAACGTGGCCTAAATGCTCTATTTTTATCTAAGTTTCAAAGCAGAGAGTTTTTTTTACCCTTTCAGGTATAGCTCGGGTGTTGTAGCAGGTGCCAGGGAGGCATTGTTGAGTGGCATCCCCTCTATATCAATATCTCTTAACTGGTAATCTCTTGCCCGTTCTACTACCCTCTTAAGAGTATTTGTTAACATTTAGCTTGAATGTGGCAGTGTTTGGTTTTATGACTTTCAGGAAGAATGATGAAAGTCAGGAAAATGATTTCAAGGATGCTGCAAGCGTTTCATTACCTTTAATTGCTGCAGCAATTAGAGATATAGAAAAGGGTGTTTTTCTCAAATGTTGTTTACTGAATGTAGAAGTTCCAACTTCTCCTCTCACAAATAAGGTTTCCCTTTAGCCATTTTTTGCCATACTGCACTTTTATTTTAATGTGGTACACTTTCACAAGAGCCCTCTTCTATGCATTACTTCCACAAAATTGCTATTAATTTTGTGCTTTAATAGTAACAACAACAATAATAGAATACAAAATTGCACTAATTAGGAGTAGAAATGTTTGGGATTTCCAAAATATGAGTGCTATGTTTCTATTCCTTAAATTGGAGTAAATTACTGTCAAGCTTGGAAAGTACTGCCACTTATGGTAATAACGTACTCTTATTTAGGGGGGAAAAATATAGCACTCCTATTTTGGAATTTCCAAAAGTTTAACTCCTATTTTCGGGAATTCCCCCTAATAGAATTCATAATAATACTAATATTCAGCAATAACTATAAAAGTATTATCCATTATAAAATATTTACAGGTATTATCATGATAACGATAACATGACATTAGTGATGCTAAAAATTGGTAAATAAGTTTTCTAATCTTTTTTGGGAATCTTCTGTCTGCTTTGTTTTGGTTTGAATCTTTCTTGTCGAGCTTGGGGTCTAAACCTGGTTAGTTTTTTTTGTTCTAGCTTGGTTTTGTTTGAATTTGAATTTTTGGTCTGGTTGATTAAAATAATAATGCGTAGTAAGTCCTACAAGAATTTATGTGTTGTCCCCTATTCATGATTGTGCTGAAAAACTGACTTTTTGTCTTTGTTCGACAGGGATTTAAATTAACAAAACCGAGTATTTGGAGGTCCACACCAAGTTGGAAAGCTATTCCAGCAAATAGGAATCCTGCTGATGGACGCTTTCCTGCGAATCAGCAAAGCCTCGGCATACAGCTTGCTCAGCTTGGCCGAGATGCCTCTGCTGCAGTAAGTATACTTTTGCTACTTTCAGGGCATATATTGGACTTAACATTATTGAAAATGTAGGGAAAGGAAAAAAATTGAAGGCAAGTTACCTGTGTCTGGACATGGAATCAAGAAATATGATCAATGTTTTTATATTATTTCCACCACGTATTGAGATTGACCAGTATTCATGTTCAAGAACTAAATAGGTTCATTAGTAAGAACAACTATTAAAAAAAAATAAAAATTTATTCAGTTTGAATCATCCCACATTTTCTTTTATTCCAAATTTCCCCTATACTTTCCTCCATATTCTCTTTCCCTGCAATTTTAAAGTTCCAAACGGACCTTCATGATCATTCATTCATTCGTTGGATATGGAATTCTGCATGTACATATTATTGCAACTTGCATAATTTCCTTATGCCTAGGATAACGACTCACTAATATGTCCCAATTTTGATTTGGTCCCATTTGGATAATAGCGTTTCATTCAAAACGCTGAATTAATTTAACTACAAACCGCTGCATTTTGCAGCGTGTAGCACCAACCCTCTGGAAAACAAATGGGACCTTTGTTACAAACTTACATTAAGCTTTAAATATAATCTCCTTTTCCTTATTACTTCGACCAGTACAAGGAATATGGAAGTGAAATTTGTGTGATTAAGATGCATGTAGAAGAGAGAGACAATATATACCGCAAATTTATTTCCTCAAGGGAAATTTGTGTGAGTAAGTGGTAAACCTTTTGGTACGGTCAAATAAGGAAGTGGACAAAAGGAGTTGAAACTTGAATTTTTGGATTAGTGCGGTTAAGTCGCAACTTGAAATCTAGTACTATATCTTACTGATTTAATGATAGTTATAAACTGAAATTTGGAAGTAAAAAAAGATGCGGTACACATAACAATGCTAACCTGAGGCTGCTGCTGCTTGCGGTTTTGTTTAACCTCTCATTGTCTCAGGGTGCTGCTCGTCGCTTGGCCACACAGAAGAAAGATATTGAAGAAGTTGAGTCAGTTGGGGTTGCTAGAAAATCTGATCCCAACCGGGCAGTCAAGTACTTCAGATTGGAGGTAAGCTATGTTGTAATGCACTTTTGCGGGTGTATTATGAATACACATGATTATTGATTTTGGCTTTGGGATGACCACTAGGAAATCCTCAAGTGGTTTGTTTCCTTTAATCTGTAATAGGTGATTATTAAATTATTATTGAATTATAGCAACCCATAATCACCTTTCATAATCAATCACTTGCTTTGCCATGGAACCATATTATCATTAGTAGTATCATTTTCATATTTCTTATTGTTGTTATTGATAAATGAGTTAATGTTTGTTGTCACTGCAGTTGCTAGACAATGAACTAGAAGACAGTGGTGATGATTTAGATTTTAGAGCGGTTCAAAATGGACTTGTAAGTGTTGTATTTACTTCAAGCTAGCAATTTGTTTCTTTTCTGGAACTTATTAAGCAACACACGCCACACGGTTCTACAAGGCATACCATTCATCGACAATTCGCATTTTAGAGAACGGTTCGGATGCCTTTTTTCAAGAGAGAAGTGCTTTTCAGAAGAAGGAAACCACTCTTACTTCAAAAGAAGTAGTTGGTGGGAAAACGAAAATGTTCTTCAACTCAAAAAAATTACTTTCTATGCTTATATTTTAAAAAGCAACACATTGGTGCTTGGGAAAAAGATTCAAGGTGCTTAACTTATGGTAAAAACACTAGTAGCAAAAGTGAAACAGGCTGCTACATATGTTAACTTGGTGAAAATAAAACATGAACAGGTTGCTGTCACTCCGTTATCTCTTTCACAACATGTAGCGCAAGAAATTGAGACAGCTGCTTCAGATTGGATTTCTAATGCCTTACAAGCTGAGGATTGAGAGTCGTCACCTATGCTGTGTTAGTAAAAACTTTTTTTTTTTTTTTGTGTTCATAGCTGATATAGTGAATTATTTTTCCAATCGGAAAAATTGCTTTTCTTAAACTATACCCACTATATAGTTCCTGAATTTTTGTATGTTTGACCTGGGAAGCAAATGCTGACCCAGCTAACGTTACAGACTACAGAGAAGTGTGCTTGCAGAATGGATACACATCCTATTATTCATTTGTTTCTGAATGATAACAAATAGAGTTTTTGCCATTTTTGGTCCCTCGACTATTATGTCAATGACACTTTTGGTACTCGACTTCTAATTGTTCCATTTTTAGTCCTTGACTATTGTGCTAGAAACACTTTTAGTCCCCGACTTCCAGGTTTCCCACATTTAGTCCCTGAGTATTGTCAAATTGACACTTTTAGTCCTCCCATTATGATTTTGGCATAATAAGTGGAGAACTAAAAAAGTCACTATTATAATAGTTGAAGGACCAAAAGTGACACTTTTATGAAAGTTGAAGGACTAAATATGGAAATTTTTAAAGATGGGTACCAAAAGTGTCTCTAGCGCAATAGTAAAGGACTAAAAATGGAAAAAATCAAAGTCGAGTACCAAAAATGTCAATGACATAATAGTCGGAGGACTAAAAGTGGAAAAAACTCTAACAAATATATAGACCATATGATCATCATCATTATCATTACCCAGTGCCACAAAGGTTCCCATCTTGAGATGACCCATGGTGAAACGTGTGTCAAAAAATTACATAGGCTGACTGTTACTTTATATTAAAGAAGTTTAGTGAGCAATATCACTTTATTCCATCATAGTCTTTTACACTGTATTAGACCCCGTTTTCTCATCTCCTCAGTACGGGTCCGGACAGGGGGTTTGGGCTGAAGGCCCGGTACCGGCCTGGGTTCGAACCGCGCCCGGCCCGGGTCGGGTCCAAGTTTTTTTGTTTTAAATTTGTTTTTCTAATTTATTCCAACTCCCACCCCCAAACTCCCCCAAACCTCCCAGCCCCACTCGCCTAGCATCCAATGAATGGGAAAAATTTTAAAAAATAATAATTTAGGCCAGGACCGGTCCCGGACTGGCCGGACCGGTCCACCATATGCGGATTTTGTAGCACGCCCCTAATACCCCCGGTTCGGCCCCCGGCCCCAGTCGTCCGGGCCAGGCCGTTACCACACAATAATGGGTTGGTCCAAGTAGCGGGTCGGTCCGAACCGGTCCAGTCCATACCTAATTGACATGCCCATAAAATTTAATGTGATTTGCTATACAAAGAATCTTGCTGTTTATGGGGGTGTTTGGATCTGATTCTTAAAATTGCTTTTGCTCGTTCAGGGAGCAGAAAAAAAGTTGAAGTGTTTGGATGAAAGTGCAGAATTGATTCGGATGCTCTAATTTACTCCTAGAATCAGTTCTTTTAGAACTGGAGGAGACTAGCTTCCTAAAACTAATTCTGCTGCTGCTTCTACTTTAGAATAGAAGCAGAAGCAGAATCAGTTCTAAACATCCCTATATAGTCTAGTATGTTTAGGCAGTGTTTGCCATTGTGTTTTAAAAGCACTTTTTAGTTTTTCAATTGAAAAAAGCTAGAAAGTGTGTTTGCAAAGACAAATTTTTGCTTATTTGGAAGTGCTTTTGAGCTAAAAGCGCCATAGACATGTTTGCCACTTGCCTTCTCCTTGCTTTGCCTTGCTTTCTTGCTTCCCATTTTACCTATTCTCTAGGGTTCTTGTTGGCTCCATCGACCTGTTCAAGGCTTCAAGCATGCCGGTCAATTCCCTGAAGCTTCTTGAAGCCAATTCTCTAGTATTTTAGTTTTTCATTCATCTGATTTGATGGGTTTTAGTTTTTATTCTCCCAATTTGTTTCTAAATGGTTAAGCCAATTTCTACCGCCGGTGATGCTTCAAGCAAATTTATTTGACACTCCGCGATATTACCAGGGAGAAATCATCTTTCACATATGGTTTTCAAATCAATGAACCATTAGAAGGATACCGCATCTGGATATTTTGATGTAATTTTACGGCAAAATGTTATACTTTTACATCTGGTTTTCAAACCATTCAAGAGATGATACCAGACCTGCGCTTACCAGGCTTAAAATAAAGGGTGTTGTAATTTTTCAAAATATTATATCACAAATCACTTTTTATGAAACACTTCAACTTTTATCTTTTAAATAAAATCACATTTACCTACAAACATTATATACTTTTACTCCAAATCACTTTTCTAATAATCATTTACAAAAATCACTTTTAAAAAGCTGAAGCAATCGCAAACATAGCCTTAGTTAGCTACTCCCACCTCCCAATACGGAGTTTAAAATACCACTTGCCTTCTCCTTGCTTTGCCTTGCTTTCTTGCTTCCCATTTTACATATTCTACTTTTCTTTTTGGATTGTCTCAAAATAAATGTCTCATTTTCTTATTTGGAAAGAAATATGTAGCCTACATTTTTTCACTTTATTATATTCAAACCTTAATCACAACTTTTGCTTTTTCAACCATTTTATTAATAATTATGTCAAGTCAAAGTGAGACACATGAAATGAGACGGAGGTTGTATTTAATTGGCGTTATTGAGCATGTAAATGCAAACACTAGAGTACTAGACTAATGTTCGGTTATTCTTTTCCTCTTTGAGAGCTGCAACCTCAGTCCAATAAACCTTGATATTTATTGGAAAAATAAACCTCAGTCCAATAAACCTTGATAGCTAACTAAGGCATGTGAAATAAGAAAAAAAACTTATGATGTGATTAAAGTTGACTTGCAAGTGTACTAAAAAGTAAAAAAAAAAATGTGTAATTGATATTTATGTAGAGAAGACTGGGGAATGTAATTTTTGTTTGAACGGCTAAATAACTGAAATTCGACACAAATTTGAACAAAGGGAGGGAGTATTAATATTATTTACTAATATGTCTTCTTTGCTTTATTTTATCTCACATTTCGGAAATTATGTTTAGTTTTATGCAACTAAATAAAAAAGTGAAAAATGAAAAAGGATTAATTAATCAATAATATTAAATCATCAAATCATCATGCTTCAATTCAAGAAGTTATGACACAATGGAAATGATTTGCTCAATTTATAATGGAAGTACAGTCAAACGGGTAATCGTAAGATCAGACAAAGAAGTGATCACCCCTCATCAGCAAAATGACTCGCTAACAACTAGACATGAAGCAATTCCCTTCCCCTTCCTGTTAACCTGAAGACAACCTAAAAACTCAACCAGACAACATAACTACACCAAACCAACAAAAGTTTGGCCCAACGAAAGCAATAAAATAAAAGTAGAAAATCCAAATTTAGCAAAAAAATGTAGCAAAAAAAAAAACAGTCATTCGTCTTCCTTGATTAGGAGCTTGAAGTACTTTTCGTGTCAATCCATGAGTTTGACCGGCTATTAGGAAAAGTTTTTCAGAATCACAAGTTTGATCAGCCACCGAAAAGCAGTTGCATTGAAACATCAATTTACTCTAAAAACTCGGCAGCAGTTCACGAGGGGACGAATGCCTAGGACCCTTTAACCATCATCAACGAAGGTCAAATTTTCAAAAATTTGTGTAGAATAAGCCTTGATAATGTGGAAACTCCACATCTATTGGCTCCACTAATGATAAATACCAACACTAGACATTGTTAGGAAAGAAACATACCACGAAATCATGTAATTAACATTATATTTAACAGTTTTTTCATGTTACTAACGAGTTTTCTAGCGGCCATGTCATGTCATTGACAATTTGTACGTTTTCACATACGATAGTATCTTGTTCTATTTTACTTCATTTTTATTTTTTTCTTTTATGAAGACATTTTCCCTATTTCCATCAACCTACTCTACCATGCACAAGTTCACAGCTCTGCCACCATTGACAACCCCCGATCTTTGCCCGTTCACAAACTCTTCTTGACAGGATATGTTACAGCCCTAGTCTCGTGGCAAGCTGCTATTGCAAATAAGCCAAGTTTTACCTCCCTATCCACACCGGGTTATGATCATTTCATGTAAAAAGCTATTTTTTGATCATATCTAGAAAGCTATTTAGAAATTAGAAGAAGGTATTCTGCCTTTGCTAGATATTCTTTTGTAGATGTTACGTAGTATTTATTTATTGAAATGATCGCACCCAGTCACTAGTGATTGACAATATTTTTTCGAGATAATACTAAAAAATGTTTGTCACCTCTAGGCTCCTTTAGGTCATCAATACACATTTTCTAAAAAGTTTCTATAAAAAAGTAAAAGAATGATTGGCAAGAAAGCAACAATCGGCGACTACATGTTACCGTAGAGGTTGGTGGGAATAAGATAAAGTCTACCATAAAAGAAAATAGGAAATATTAGATAATACGGAGTACGACACTGGGATCGTAACGAGTTATAATAATGAGTCTTTATGATGTACTCCGTATTAGTGATGCGAAAATGATGTAGCGAGTAAGCGAGATAATATAGTGAAAAGAATGTGAGATCATTGATTGTTTTTAAAAGATTATGAGACTATTATGTGAATCTTATCTACGTGTCTAAGATCTAATTACGATTCTGGACGCTCGTATGTGACAATTTCTTCTTCGAAAATTGATAAAATGGGCCAACGTCGGGTGAATGGGCGTAATCTGTCAGAAAGACACGATTCAAGAATAGGCCCATTATCAACACGGACCTTTCAAGTACAGCAAAATGAATGCGCAGCACCATGGAAATGAGTTGCAGAGGAACTAGGGTATACTGAACTTTCAGCTGGAAAAACAATGTCGTCTTCCTCCTCGTCGAGATCGCTTCTTTTCCGGAATGGTTTCTCTTTGATCACGCGATTGATGAACCAATGTACTGCCCGAAATTCGCTGCAGACGGTATCTCGGACCCCCGAAATCACCCCGAAGCTCTTCCCTTGTATCTCCTCTCAGACTTACGCTATCCATCTCCCCCAAAATAATGCCGATTTATTTCGAAACCTGTCTGCGGAGGGTTTTCTCTACCCTTGTGGCCTCCCTTCGCTCGGATTTTTTCTTCCTGAGGGTAATTTTTTACATTCACATTTTGTACTGTGTATAAGCTTAAGTATTATGTTTATTTGCATAATTATCTGTTTATGATACCATTCTATCTTTATTTCTTTTTTGAGTAACTGCATTATATTATTTATAGTGTTACGTTCAACGATCTACAAAATCGTAACTTTTTCCTAGGGGCTTTTTGTGTCTCAATCTTGAGGCTAAGGAAACTTGACTGTGCACCTTTTTAATAAATGTAATGGTGGATTGTTGAACTAATGTGATTTTCATTGTTAATGTGAATTGCATTCATAGCGCCGCGTGATTTGGACTTGTCTGTATTGTTAAGTTGCTTAGAACGGTTCTGAAATCATTATGCATTTTCTCTAAGCTAAGTTGCACAGCTAAACGAATTTTAAGTCTTCCACTATGACATGACTGCATGAGTTTGTAACTTATTCTTGAATCATGATGATTCCTCATATAGTGATGTGAAGTCCTATTCTCTCTTTACTAGTCTCTGATTGAGATGTTAGATGGAAATAGAATTCGATGGATCCATCAACGTTGAAATTTAGGCCCATGTGTTGTAGAAGAAGGATTGCGACTTCGGAATGTTATTAATGTCAATGAAAAGTTGTACATATTATTCTATATTCGATTGCTCCATTTCCTCGAAGGTGAGTGATAGGATGTGAAAGTAATGTTTAATTTTCCTCTTTAAGTTTGCTTATTGATTAAGAGCCCGTTTGGAGAACTCTGTTTTCGGCTTATCAGGCTTATCAGCCAGCTTTTTCACCAAACACGTAACTTTTACTTTCGCGCGCTGAATTGTGTAATAAGCCGAAAAAGTAAGGTTGGAGTTACTTTTCTGGCTGTATTGGCTGAAGTTACTGTAGAGGACCATTTTAGCTATTTTTACATATAATTTTTTCTTTAATTTATTAATAAAATATATTTTTTAAATATTTTTTTCTTAAATCAGCAGAATCAGCCAAAACAGCCACTCCAGCCAGAATATCATAAATTTCAGCAGAATCAGCCAAAACAGCCGATTTTGGTGCTACCAAACGGGCTCTAAGACGTTAAGGGTTTGTTAGGTGTGGTGTGTTTGGAGGGGAGGGAAGGGCAGGATTTATTTCTTTTCACTAATTTATCTCTATTTACTTGTGGTAAAGTAGTAAATATCTGCTACACGAATGCTTAGTTAAATCTGAAACTTTTAAAATATCTCATTTCACTTTCTTTAAACCATCTATGTATAAGAGTAAATCAAATATAAATGTCATCATTTACCACACCTTCCGAATTCTGCAAAACAAACAAGGGGTAAGGGAACAACCACTGAAATTGTGAATACAGCACCTAGTTTTGCCATCATGGTTTGACTATTGTTTGTTGTTCGAAATTATGGTGGCGTAACATTGTCCTTCTCTTAGACATTGCTTAATGTTTTAACTTCTCTCTGACAGGAGAAACTTCTACTAACGAGCCAATGCTTTGCCACACTAAAAGAACGTACCAACCAAGCAACATAAGACGCAAAAGAAATCATGGATTTCTTGCGCGGTATATCTCCCTTCCTCCAATTCCTCTTTTTATTATTTCATTTCAGCTTAATAAAAAATGTTATGCAAAACCCGTTCAAAACTCGAAACTTTTGAATTCTTTTAATGATCATACAGTTATCTGAATCTGATCAATTTATAAGAGCATATAAAAAATTAAACTCAAATATATGGTATAAGTTCAACCACTCCAGCTAAAAAGGAGTATTTTGCACTACATTTTCCAATTATCATCTAGTTCTGGTTTTCATAGTGATATAAGTCAATATTTGTTGAAAAAATTGGCTAGGAGGATTGATAAGCTAAAAACGAAGCCTACCCAACACATTCTTATTTTCTGGATTGTTGTTATTTTTATGTGTGACAAATATACAGTAGCTTAACTCTATAAAATTGAACAGTAAGGCTACAAAAGGTGGCCGGAGAGTAATTGCTAGAAGAATTGCCAAGGGACGCGCACGAGTAACAGTATAGCTTATGTACAAACATATAGCATCATGTGGCAGTTCCGGATCTCAATCAAGAGTTATTCTTACTAGAAGCATGGTATATATACTGCGTGCAGCATGCCCCAGTGGGGAGTCTCTGTTTCTGATGCCACCAAGTACTTGTGTTTTATCTTGTTCAGAATTTCTCAATGAATCCATCATATTTGCTTGCTGCTTTTAAACCTTATTGTACTAATTTCTATCCGATCCTCCATTTTCTTGTTAAAAAGAATGAAATTACATGCATAGACTTTGCAACATCTGGACAGGGATATTCCATCTTGTTATGAATGCTGCAAATTTGAGAAGTTGACAGCACTTTTCTTCAAAATTACACACCCCGTAGCATTTATTACAGAGAATCCCTATATCCACTCAGTTGTTGGCTTGATCACAACCGTTCTATTGAGAGCAGTCGATTAAGACCAGCAACCGATCCAAAATTTTCTCATGCCAAAATAAGCCCGTGTTTGTTTCAAATGATGGGTGGGGCCGTGGGGGGCCAAAGGATATGAAAGAGGAGGTGAGGAAAATAGAGGGTCAGAAAACTGTTATGTGCTTGATTCGATTCAATCATTCAATGGATGCATTTCAGAAATATATGGAGTAAATAGTTGTTCTAAGTTCTAACTTCTAATCCCCTTGAGGCTTGAGCTATGTGCATGTGTTAGTAATTGTTCAAGGTTTACCAAATATGATACGACTATACGAGTACGTTTTATATGAGAAGCACTCGGGCAGATTTGAAAAAAGTAAAATTGAATAGCTTGGGGCGGATTGAAAAAGTAAATTCCGGTTTAATGTTTTTAAACGTAGCTTAAGATGATGTTTTAGGTATCTTCAAAAAAATTGTTTTAGGTGTGCTTTATATTTACAAAAAAAGTACTCCGTACTTCGTAGGAGTTTTTGTAACTGAAGAAATACTTTGGGCAGTGTTTGTTCTCTCTCCTATTTATCTATATTTAATTTCTATTTTCTTATTGGAATATATCCAACTCAATAGAAGATTTAATAGGAGATGTAGGCAGTATAATGTTTCTCATAATTATAGAAAAGCTCCCCAAAATTGGAACTGAGTTATATATAGAGAGCAGATAATTTTGAGGTAATTAACTCCATAGCTCGATCATAGCTATGAGCCAATGAGGTATGCAGAACTTTACGCCGAAAATTTGGAGGAAAACAAAAGCTTGAAGAAATCAAGAAAATAAAACATAGGCTCGATCATATCTCAGTAAATGTAAGTTTGTTACTTTTTATTTTTTTCCTGAAAATGAATTTATATTGTATAAATAGTTAAATACTAAGGAATCTAAATCTAAATATATATGAAAAAAATTAGAAACATTAACTGTATGTCACACTTCCTTCGGATATTATTCTGTGATTTAACCGAACACAAGAAAACTCCAATTTCATTAGCATTTTCATTTAATCCCCTAATATTTTATGGGATCCAAATTCCAAACATATATAGCCTAGCTTCCTCAACCAAATCACACGATCCCTTCCTTTTTCTCTACAAAATCTTTCAACCACAGAAAGGCTAAGATCGAGAACATGCATAGGGAAGGCTTTGTTCCTAAGATTCATGTTAAGAAAGTAAAGAATGAATATTAAGTCTTCGGTCATTACCATTTTTTTTTGTATTTCAATTACCACAAAGCTAATTCATCCTTTGAAGATTGATCTATAAAAGTGTAAATAGAACATGTGACCACTGACAATAGTAAATATGTTGACGACATTTTCTTGGGGTCAACTTGATGATGACACACTTCATGAGCTGTATGCAAACAACAAAAGATCAACATCTTAATCAAGTACATGCCCATATACAGAACATTATTGAACATAGGAAAACATCTTCATTTATTTACTTCCATCAAAATGAGATTTATGGAACATCCTTAGGCATTCATTCATTATTTTAATTGCAGCTCAACCAAAATTAGTAACATCTAGGTATTTAATTAACAATATTCCCAACCCTATAATTCCCAACAAGCCAAGCTAAGTAACAACATTTTTTATATGTTTTACAAAACAAAAACACACAATGTATCATACTATCATGCATTATCTCTTACTCAAACATGATATAGGCTGAATAAATATACACTAGGGTTGAAACGCAATAAACTCATTCCCCGACAGTCCCGAGAACGACAACGGTGATGATAACGATGGCAGTGTTGGTAAGGGAAATTGATACACGGGTGGAGGTGGCGGTACATCACGTGCAATGAAGCCACTAGTAGTAGAAGAAGTGGAAGAAGGAAGAACAGGCATACAACACTCAATATCATCTTTACCGACTTCACAAAGCTTAGGCATTGCAGGAAACATCATGGGATCCTGGTCGGTAGCGAAAATGTGGGGGGTATCGTTACAGCCAAACATGGAATATGAACTTTCTTGTTTGGATGAACTAGGGTTCTGATCAGGTTGAAATCCATGAAACCACGTGGGATCACTGGCGGCTGGCGGTTGCATCATAGGAAGTACCAAATCTTGGTTCATTATTTCTTGATCAGCTTGAATGAATAATAAAGGGTTATTATTATCATCACCATTATTATTATCCAGCACATGATGGGAGGTTTGGATGAGACTAGAACTAGGGTTTAAGATTGGGATTAGATTAGTGTAGAGGTTTGGATTATGATCGAAAAGCATGGTGTTATTATTATTTGGGATATGCTGATTATTATTATTAGTATTAGTAATAGTGGTGGAAAGGTGATGATGATTAGAGGAACGAGAGATGAGCTTCTTCTTGATGGTTGAATTCCAGAAATTCTTCACTTCATTATCCGTTCTTCCTGGTAGATATTTTGCTATCTGAGCCCACCTGTTAAACTTTTAATAATAAGAATAATAATTCTCTCCTAAAACAACCTTAAGAATAATAAATATATTTTCTTCTCCCCCAAATTAAAAAAGTGCCCTTAAATTACTCATAACAGATACCCTTAAACTTCTACTGCTCATCTTACTCTTTTGTTCACAAAATTCAAGCCTAATAATAAAGTATCTATCATTTATCTGATCTATCATATATCCCCAAAACTTGGTTTATAAAGTCATAATAAAAAATCTTTAAAAGCGAGTAGTGAGTCCTAAAAACTCATTCTAGATATCTAGTCTTAATATTTAATTAAGGAAATGTGTTTTCTTTTGGTTTAACTTACTAAGATAAATTTTTTCAGTATATAATAAATATTCTAGTACATGATGATTAGAATATGAACCTGTTTCCCAGAATAAAATGGAGTTCGAGGATAAGAGCAGCTTCCTGAGGAGAAAAGCTGCCACGTTTGAGGTCAGGTCTTAGGTAATTTATCCACCTCAGCCTGCAGCTTTTCCCACACCTCTGCAGCCCTACGTACAGATGCATGGTCGATCATCACAACATCAAAAGATTAAATCCGATAAAAAAATTAGAATAACTATGAATAATTTGATTAATATACTCCCTATGTCCCAATTTGATGACTTGATTGTGTTTTACGAGGTTTGACCAATAATAAAACTAACAAATTCATGTCCTCACTTAAATCAGTTTTAGCAAATCAAATTTACATATTCAAAAACTATAATCAAATGAATGCTAGGTACGGTACCATTGTTTTTAGAAAGGTACTGGAGTTGTCACCTTAAAAGTATTACTCCCTCTATCCCAAATTGTAAGATACTTTACGGTTTACGATGTTTGACTGACGATAAAGCAAATTAATTCCTGTCAACACTCAAATTAGTTTTAGAAAATGAAATTTACATATTCAGAAACTACATTAAAACGGCTATAAAGCCTGCAAAAAATAATTCAAATTTCATAAACTTTTGATATATAAAGTAGAAGTTTAAAAATGATTCATGTTGACCAAGTGAATAGTAAATGTATCTTACAAATTGGGAGTGAGGGAGTACAAAGTCACAAAAAGGAAAATGAAATTTGTCAAAAGTTTGATATATAAAGTACTCTGATCCGTAAGAGATTAAGAATGATTTGTGTTGACTAACTGAATAAGAAACATGATCATCAAATAGGGACGGAGGTAATATATGATATGATTATAAGGATATATCTAGCAAACAATACATAATACGAGTATATGATAAATATACATGAAATAAGTAATATTTTAACTAAATAACAATGATAGATGTATACATAGTTCGTCGAAGTATATACCATACCAGCAAGCCTTGGAACGGAGCTCCAGCAGCCATGGCCATAGGATGAAATATAGTTGATGAGCTTTTCATCTTCCTCAGGTGACCATAGCCCCCTTTTCACCTTTTGTTTATTGCAGCATGAATGCTGTCCCATATCTCCCTCTCTCTAACCTGTTGACGATATATCTGCTGAATTTTTTTTGTTTCCTCGGATGATAAAAATATGTGTGGGGTGTGTAGATTGTATGTATATGTATGTATGTGTATATATTTGTATAGACCTAGAAAATCCCAGGAGAATATGGAGCTGGGAAACTCTCTGGTCTCAAGAAGCAGATATATAGACGGATATGAATGAACCAATAACTGAAAGCTATGGTTTGAGGAGAGGTCAAGCTACACTCATGAATAGTGGAGTATGTACCTTTACTCAAGACATGAATTTAATGGCTAAACTATTTGCCTAGGGTGAGGAGTTGAGGGTGAAGGTGTAAATAAATGAGTAAATTAAGGGTCATATTGGTTCTCGAAATTACATAAAAAGGGTCAAATAAGTCCTAATTGTACGGCAGTCGCCATTTGGGGTGGTTCCCGGTGGAATTGTTTGATGAAAATTTTTGAGTATCTTTTTTATTAAGTCTAGTTACTCATACCAAATTTCAGCTAAAACTTCAATCGGGAAGACATTCAAATGAATTGTTGAAGGTAATTGTGCTTTTAATTAACAACTGCACAAAAATTTTTGTTTCACGTGCTAAATTTTGTAATAATGAAAATAAGAAAGGTTAAAGTTAAATTACAATATAAATTGGGTGAAGTTAGTATAGATGATCATTTTAACTATTTTTTCATCTAACTTTTATTTATTTTATCAATAACATGTATTTAAAATATTTTTTCCCGCAATTCAGCAGATTCCGTCAATTCAACTATTTCAATAAGAATTTCATCAATTTCAATAGATTCAACCAATTCTACTAATTTCACTATTACCAAACAGTCTGGTAGCTCTTAATCCTACATTCCTACAATTCATGGGGTAAATATATGCAACACGTGACGTGCTCCATGGTGAGCACATTAGCATGATAAATGAGTAGGAATTGCCTATCTAAAAATATGAGAAAAACTGGATGATTTATCACATCTGCATGCTTCGTGGTGAACACGTTGGGATACTCCATATATTTTGAGACCAATCATATATCTTCTGGTTATTACTCATATAATTTCATTTACCTACATTTGAATTGTGATGCCTATTAAGTACTCCCTTCGTCCCAAATTGTGTTGCGAAATTGACTTTTTGAGTTAGTGAAATTCATTTTATTTATTTAATTAAGAATATCAATTCTTGATCAAAGTCGATGGCCACGATGATGGATAAAAAAAATTCAATTCTTAATCAAATTAATAGTGATACAGTATACATACACCCTAGCTTTTACATTATTACATGTCTCTTATACAAATCAATCAGAAATTTGTTATATTTCGCCACTATATATTCTACATACGTACACCTATTTCTCTCTTATGTATTCCCCAAATCAAACAATACAAATAACAAATTGGTTAAATTGGACTAAGACAAAAAAATGTATGCATTATAATCAGAAAACTCTCAAGATTGGAGTATAATATAGCAAATTTTCTCAAATATATAGCATCTTTCTTCCTAAAAGTCATGAATTCTTCTATTCTTTTATTCAATCTTTTAATAGGGAGGCTCATGCATTCACTGATTAGTTTTTTATTCTTGTATTCTTTGAATAGGTCTGAATAGGTCTTATTTGGATAAGAAAATATACTTAGTTCTATTTTTGAATCATGAATACTCCTTATGTTTTGATTTTATTTTGATCAATTATTTCTTTAATTAAATAAAAATTGTCTTAAATGAAAATAAAAAGGTTTTAAAATTTCAAAATATGAGGACTGTGTTTTTTACCCAAAATAGAGTAACTATCCATGTTTTGAAAGTATTGTCACTTTTGGCAGCATAGTGACACATTTAATACGTGATAATACCAAATATGACAGTATTATAAACTTGTCAGTATGATAGTAGCATACCTCTATTTACGAAATTTGATACTACTATTTCTCGATATGGAGTAAAACATTATACTCCTATTTTATACTCCGTTTTTTTACAATTTTTGTACTATTATTCCAGGATTTCCCTTAATAATTTTATATTAAAAGGACAATCATTTGTTAACCATAACGTCACTGCGCTGACCTTTTCATCGTAGCCGTTTAGGCGTTTACTAGCTGAAAGTCTGAAACCACAAAGCACACAAGATGTGTCTAGTTGTGAGTAGTGATAAAGTCCCACACCGGCAAATTAAGAAGCATGAGAGTGCTATATTAAGCTTCGGACTACTCCTTCTATCAAGTTGACCTTGTAGGATGGAATCCCGAATCTTAACAGATGCATCTTGAAGAACAAAAAGTGCATATTTTTTTACATATTAATTATATATCATTCTCACCAAAGGACGATCGTCCATAAATACACATACATCCGTTCATATATACTCCGTACATTATAGGGAAAGTTCAAATATGACTAAAACAGTTTGAAAATTCCAAAATAAAACTGTCATGTTTTTTATTCACAAAATAGGATTAATTATTGCCATGTTTGGAAAATACTGCCATGTTTGAAGTCTGGTACTGCCAAAACATGACAGTCCTATTTTGGAATTTTGAAACATTTTTAGTCCTATTTCGGGTAATATACTCTACATAATACTCAGTGACATAGATATACACCTTTTATAACTTGAAAGATGTATAGATAAATTTGACCACAACTCACAAAATATTCTCTACATAATACTCAGTGACATAGATATACACCTTTTATAACTTGAAAGATGTATAGATAAATTATGACCACAACTCATAAATTTTGACCACAACTCAATTTTATAGTGGTTCTCTTTGAAGTTGCTCTGAGAATTTATGGACGGGCTTATTTAACGAGGAGTGATTTGGGGCGCGAGAATGTGTGAGAGAATATAATGTGATGACAGGATCTGGAGTGTGCCGGTATATAAAATTTTTTCAGATAAATTTTTACACATATTTTTAGACCTTTTTATTCCAATATTACTAAAATAAATGAAAAAGATAAAAAAGTGATTGGTTTTAAATTTTTCTTAAAATGTGACTAAAAGTCATTTACTCCTTATAATTAATCATATATTTATTTTTAAATATTCCTTTATAGCACCTCCAGACCGCCGACCCCAGCACCACCACTTCTGCCACCACCGCCGCCACCGCCGCCGCGCCACCGGCACCACCGCCTACGCCGGCGGCCAAAGTGACTCCGGCCACAGTGATTGACGTCACAGTGACTGTCACCAAAGTGACTCCCGCCTACCGGCCATAGTGACTACCGCTCAGTGACTCCGATTACGGCCACAGTGACTCCGCAGCCAGTGATTGCCCCACCGTCAGTGACTACCCCACCGCCCGCTAGTGACTACGCCACCTCCTATTGAAGTGAATGCCAGTGGCAGCAGCGCCTCCAACCAAAGTGACTGCCCGCCAGCGCACTGGTCACAATGACCCGGCCCAAAGTGACTGCCCATTCACTGGCTAAAGTGCCTGCACCGCCAGAGACCACTGTTGCCAGGTGTCCCCTCCGGTGGGGGA